CAACAGACTCCAACCCACCTCCGCAAGAAGCTTCTTCAACCAAAGCCTTTTCTTCATGATGCAACACCTGGCGGAGGCGATGAGCGCTGTCTAACAAGGCTTCGAAGTCAAACTCGGCCTCAAGACTACGGTGACTCGGCTGTCCATCCCCGTCCAACAAGCAGAACTCATCGTCTAGCTGATCCGCCGAGCGCTCGCCAACTGGAACGACACTGGAAGCCAACAGGCTAAGCAACGAAACACGGGCGCTAACACCACACGCCGACGCATTCGATGTAACAAGTCCTTGCGAAGGGCAATCCGCACCATTTGAGTCTTCACCGAAATCAGCCTCGTCTCCCCCGAACCTGTGATTCCGCACACGGGAGATGGGAAAACCAAGCAATTCAAGCTGTTCAGCTGCAGCTGGCTCCAGCCTTTCAGTGCCTCGAGGAGTGTACGCTGTCAAATTCAACCCCCTGCCTTCACCAGGTATGCACGCATGCCACCGATGAGGACTGAACAAGAAGACCCCGTCTCGAGCCCTTTCTATGCGACCTTTGACATGCGTCCCTGACTTGGGAAGGCACTCCACCCATTCCGCCTCAGCTTCCTCGCACTCCGGATCCTCAATCCAGAGAGCTCCACCGTTTAGCGGTAGGGTGATGTTCCACGATCCACGTTTGTTGTGGACGTCGCGGCACGGGGCCAACAAGGAACCATCCGACAAAGACACAGCCGCAAAAGGCACATCAATGTTTGCCCGGACAAAGGCTGTCATATACCTCACTACAGCAGGCAAGTCAGAGCACGAACGAGTCACCTCGATCTTTCCACCAGACACATGCACACCGGCAACGAACAGGTGGGGAGGGTTTTCAGCTTCAACGACACCGGGTGACGGGCCAGCGTGATCACCAAACTGAAGCTCAGGCAACAAATCAACCAAAGCACGCATGGAAGCAGCATCAAAGCGCTGACGGGCCAAACGCTCATCACAGAGCAAATTTGCATCCCCTGGCTCCTCAAAAGCAACACGCTTGCAACGACCTGGGTTAACCGAAGCACTGCTCGAAACACCTCTCAGCGCAGCAACTCGAGTACCACGAACGGCGACAATGGAATTTTGCAGGGTTGGGACACACAGCGACGCGGCTCTGGCAGCTACGGGTAAGGACTTCCAAGCCGGCACCGTTTCCTTAACGACAGTCACATACCGGTCTCTAAACACCACACTGCGCACGCACGAAGGCTCAAGCTGGTCAAAGGTACACATCGCCATATGCTCACCTGCTTCAACGAACACTCGAGCGCGAGCAATCAAGGTGGACCCTGCGAAAATGTCTTGAGGAGGTCTGTCAGGGATATCCAACCACAACTGATTGACAACATAATCCTCTGCCAAGCTCCTCCAAGTCAGACCGGGCTCATGCTGCAGCAACGCTTCAGACACAATCTCTGGGGCTTCACGCCATGCAGTGGCAGTAGCCTCTGAGATTTCGGCCCACTCAACAGCGTACCTGCGCACCGGATCGCCACGAGGAGGTTGTAGAGCCCTTTGAGTTCCACCAAAGGAAGAACCAATCACTCTCAGTGCCGCTAGCTTCGGGCCACTACCGACCACGAGATTTCCCGTCAATGCAGCCAACCGCCCGGCACCTACAGAGAGCTCCTCATGCGCACTACGGGCCTCAGAGACAACTGACGACTCGCAAACGGTAAGAACAGGCGTACAGTATTTGACCCGACACACCTCGCAGTCGCGGTCAGCACACCAACACTCAAACGGCGCACCTTGGTTGTAAAAGACACTTGGACAGGCCCCAAATTTGGGCTCCAAAAGGCTGGTTTGTGGGGACTCCGAAGACGCAGTGTTCAAAAACGTGTCTGAAGGCGTTTGCAAAAGTGTAACTGCACGCACTCCCCCCCGGGTGAGAACCCGGAAAACGGTCTTTCCAACCCAAAGCTGCGTGTGATCTTCCGATAAGAACTGTTTGCCACTGTCCTTCCAGCGGTCTACTTTAATTGTTTTGCCTCCCTCGACAAACTCCGCAATTGTGACACGCTCGGGGCCCAAGTCCTTAAGAGCAACCGGCAAGTACGCGGTGAAGGTTGGCACATACAGAGCAGCACGAGGAGTTTATGGACACGTGTAACTTCCGATTTATCCTTGTCAAACAACCAGTAATCTCCAGAGGCATAGGTACGCTCAGAAGAACCCACAGGCTCATACAATAACTCAGAATCGGCATCGGAGCGCGTCGGGATCTTTTCAACATCAGGCTGCTCAACATTTGCAGCCGCAGAAGGCGCAGGAGCGCCATCAGTTTTCCCCGATCCCTCAAAAGGAGCAGCTTCAACGACGCCGTCAAGAGTCACAATGCCCGGAGAACGAACCTGGCTAAAAAGGACATTGGATATCAAAAGCGACTTGCCATCTTCAGGGTTCTCCGGCAACACCAAATACCCGGATAAAAGGTCAGGAGACGGCCCCAACACACGCGCAGGACAAACACGAGTCGACCAAGAATCGATCTTCCACGACCTTTTTCTTACCATCACACGTGCTCCAAAAGGCACAAGCTCAGGAGACTCAGAACCAGCCGACCGACACGCTTTTCTGAACAAGTCTTCTGCCCAATGCCTAGCCGCCAACGGCCAGTAGCGAGGCCCCAGGTCTGCAGCGTGAAGCAGAGCTCTCGTCTCTGCCTTAAAAACATTAACTGCTGCTTCCACCTTGCCATTCCCAGCAGGATCATCCCCGCTCGTTGTTGTTTTCATCATGTCACGTGCAAGAATCCACCGCGTAACGGCCTCTCCCATAAACTCTTTTCCTCGATCTGAGTGGAAACGAGTGGGCTCGAAACCCAAGTGCTTCAGACGAGTATAGCATTTTTGAAGTCCAAGGAGAACCTGATGGTGATTTTTTCGTGATAAAGGAATCGCCTGGATGAAATTGCGTATTCGGGCCGGCTCCTTGCATTTAGCCATCACCTCCCTCCAGTGAGCATTCCTATCATCGGCCTCTCGGGCCTCACGCTCGGACAGCTCTTCATCGACCTCATCTGTCTCCTCTGATTCCAGCAACTCAAGACCCTCTTCGTATGAGGGCAACGGGAAATCGGAGGGGTCAGATTCTTCAACGGCTTGCGAGAACACGGTCACCAAGGCATAACGGGCCTCCTGTTTAACATCTAGACCTGCGGCAAAGGGCCCAGCAACATCCGCGGTCAAAGTATTCACTGGCCCACTGGGCGACCTCGTGTGTTTGCGAGCTCGGGAACGACTCTCCAGACAAACACGGCAATCGGAACGATAAGGGCGATGGCAAGCAAGAACATGGCTCTTAAACGCTTCAAGGGAAGAGGCCTTCGCAAGCCTAGGCTCATCTTGGCCAGAGTCCAGCTCGGCCTCTATCAAGTCCAGCAGCAAACCTTCCCTGTCAAGGCCATCGGAAACGACCGTCTCGGGATCACGAACCCAGTCTAGCCACGCCAAGCCCAGCAGTTTAGTCACAGAAGCTGCCGAACCACCACATGTCCTGTGAAGACCCTCAAACACCTGCCACGACGATGTGTGCACTTCCACGTTGCAAGCACAGCCAAGCGAATCAAGATGCTGACCACAGCTCGCTACGCCCACACAGGACCTGGGAAGCCTGATGTTCTGAGCCTCGGCAACATGAAGATCCCCTAGAACCTCTTGGCCAGCTTCAAACCAGCTCAACAAAGACTCATCCTTGGGGGTTTTCAAACCTAAAGCAACAAAGACGTTGTCTCGCTCGCGAGCCGCTCTAGCAACCGCAACGAGCATGCACACCTTCAAATACAAAAGCTCTGATCCAGGTCTCACATCAGGAAGGAAGCCAACGACACCTTCGACTCGGCCCTTCACAGCAAGCTGCAGGAGGAAAGGATACACTGCATCAAAATCAACTCCTCGTTGCCAATCCACGCTCAACGACACACGACCCGGGGCTGCGCCCCACTGCTTCGAACCTCCAAACAAGTGAAGCATCACACCCTTTGCACATTCAACTTGGCGGCGCTTCCTACGGTTGAAGGGCAGCAAGACAGTGTCAACCACCAGATTCGGCACCAAGGCACTCACGGATTCTGGGTCGAGATGTGGAAAAGAACGAGAAGCCCACTTGGGCAAGCCAACTTCAATGCCGATTATGTCACCAACATGGGCGCTAAGCACATCTGGAAGCTCCACCTCCTCACCTGCCTCGCCACGCAAGTTCAACACCGAGACAGCACGCAACACCTTGGTAGCCCTGAGCTGCTCGAGCTGCTTGATCATCGATTCCACCTTACTGGCAGGCAACTCAGGGCAACCTGCAACCATCTTGATGTCAAGCCTGCCGCTCTTGGGATGCGTAAGGACACAACCAGACTCCCCGTCCCACGTAGCTCGGTAACCAAGCTCACTACAGACTGCATGCAACGGAATGATAGGATCGACAGGGTCCTTGGACAACAGCGTGTTGACAGGGCTGAGGTGGAGCGTTGTGCTACCAGAAGCAAGACCAACGCGAGTGGGCACAGCGCCCCGAAACTCCTCTTCATACCCCTGCCTCAAAGGATGTGTCGCTCCACCATCAATCAAGCCACGACGCTCAGACCCCTCAACACGGTCACTATCACCAAAGCCTGATTTAAGCTCAACCCGAGAACCCCCAAGACCCAAAGGCACGCCAGAAGACTTCAACGCACTCACGCGGAAACTCTTTAACGCCCGCACGGCTTCATCCACAAGCTGTGCACTCGAAGGGCCTGCGCTAGCGGACGCAGATGCGGCCGCTGCCTCAGAAGATGCAACCTCGGGAGCAACAGCCGCAGCAGCAACCTTGGGCTTTTTCAACGGGCAGTCAGGCTTCTTATGGTCCATAGACCCACACAGGAAGCAGGAACCCCACTTCCTCTGGCCATCCTTGCCCTTGCCTTTGTCCTGCTCCTTCGAAACCTCTACCTCCTTGTCCTTGCCATCTTTAAACTTTCCTTTACCCTTCTTTCCTTTATCCTTCCCTGCGCCCTTTCCCTCTTCACGACGCTTATCGCCGCCTTCAGAACCCTCAGTCCTCTTCTTGTACACAGGGCATTCAGGACGCATATGCTGCTCTGAAGAGCACTCCCAACAACGACCGACACCCTGAACCGCCTGCAAATCATGATGATGTTGACAAGCACGGCCATTAGCACAACCTTGAGGGGTCATCCAGAAGTTGCACGGGGGCCTCGACAATGCAGCCACTCTCGGCCTCTTCTTGGGATCATCGCCTCCGCTGATGCTCATGAGCTCGGCCTCAGCCTGAACCGCCTTAGCGTACTCGGCGACAGCCTCTACAACAGGCGTGTAGTCAAGCCTCAACGTGTTCCTCAACATGGCCATGCGAAAGGACAACTGAGCATCACTTGCTACCAGCTTCGCTGCCAACTGATCAACACCATGCAACAGCAGGGAAGCATCAGGAACCTGCACTCCAAGGCGACCGCAGCGACCAAACCACCGGAACCAGCGACGCAAACCGTTACTCAGATCGGCAAAAGACGACACCGCAGGAGGCGCCGTTAAACCTTGCAACAGCTGCTGTCTCTCCGCCAAACCACCGGGTTGAAACAAACATAAAACCCGGTACAGCAAAGCAACAGTGGAAATGTGACGACTCGCAACCAGATCTTGATGGATCTGCTCCGGCACAGCACGCACTAACATCTGGTAAGCCCGCGCTTCCAGCCGCTGATAGGCTGCCAAGCCCAACGTCGCCGACACCTCGGGCACAATACGGATACGGTCCAGCGGACTCGCGAGCTGCCAGCGCATGTACAGGGCATCAGCTTCACCTTCAACGAGTGACCACCATTCAGCCGAAGCCGGACTCAAATCGTTCATGTAAGGCCGAATGCTTATCAGCCAGTCTGCGCACCTAAGGGCCGCATCAGGCAAGGACGAGGATGCAAGTTCAGGGAGGTTCCACATTACACGGTCACCAGGCGCATAAGGATTCCGTCCCCCGCCGCAAGACTCAGGAACAACACCTTGCGGAAACCCGGACCAGGTAGCCGGAACGGAGGGTTTACCAAGCTCCACGGAAGGCCGATCAAACCCCGATATAGCAGAGCCGGTCCCTCCGGCAAATCCCGTAGGAACACTGGGAGGAGGAGGAGGAGGCGGGTAGAATCCAGAAGAGGGAGGCGGCGGCGGTGGTGGAACGCTCATAAATCCAGCTGCAGTCACGGAAGATGGCTGAAACTCCAAACCCGCATGTGCTCCATGAGCCATTTGAGCTGCAAAGGCAGACACAGGAACTTGAGCCGCCGGTGCGGTCCCACTCAACCCCACTGGAGCTGAATTGCCCAAGCCTGGAACCAATACCAGGTGAGGATTGCTATCAGTGCTGGGATAACCGGGCTCCTCGGAGGAGTCATTGGAGGAGGCCCAGCGGGAATCGCAGTGCCACCCGGTGTAGTAGGTGGCCTACCATCACTAGGATCCCTGGCTCTAGGTGTTGAGTAACCCGGCAAACCATTCACAGGACCCGGACTGCCATAGCAGACTCTAGAATCCTCAACCTCCCGGCCCGTGGCCATCACTTCGGGAGATTGCGTGGATATAGCACCCAGTACCTGCGAATCGGGCATCCCGTTCAAAATCTCCTGAAGCGAAGCCAATCTACGGGGAGGGGCATCTAAAGCCAAATGAGCAGGCCCTGCCGAAACGGCCTGAGGGCCGCTTGACATCTGTACAGGTGTCATTACACCTCCTCCTACCGCCACCGATTCTTCTCGAACCCCAAAGCTCACTCTGTCCGCCATCGAAGAGAAAGGATGCGCTTGAAAAACACCCGACTGCCGTTCCCGCTCCTCCAGCGCCAGCCGCTCAAAGTGACGGTCAAGAGCCATGTGGTCAACCCATCCCAGCGGTTGCTGAGCCTGGTAAGGGGTGCTGGCCGTAGACCGAGAACGTACACTGTCACGCTCTTCCAAGCGCTCCATTCGACCAGTCAAGGTAGATACCAACGATCCAAGCCTGTCGAGCCCTTGCAAGAACATTCCCTGCACACGTTCACTCGAAGACTCCCTTGCAGCGCGAGGACCAGTCGGCCCTGCATCTCGCGCAGCTTCACCGGAAGCCTCTGTTACCACCGAGGTTCCACCAAGTCCTTGGGTTCGTTCCGGTACCTGATGGGCTACAAGCTGAGGCACTACGCCCAACAAGACCTCATCGACTAATCGACCTCCAGCAGCCTCTGCTGCCTCACTTGCTCCGCCCGATGCCCTCGCACCCTCAAGCGTTGCAAGGTTGATTTCCGCATCCACCGCCGTTGCCATTGAGGCACGATCTGAGCTGGTACGCAAGTCATCTTGCGTCCCAACACCCCCAAGCCCTCCAGTCGCCTGCTCTCTTTCGTACGGCGGATCTCGTATATCCCCCTGACTGTCCGACCCATCACGAACCGGAAGCCTTCCCGTTGACGCATCATCAGGCGTGTCCAGCCTGAAGTGTTCGGGCCCATTCCCTTCCGTCGCCATCGCCCCACGTTCGGAGGCAACACGAATGAGAAGAGCCGGGCGGAAAAGAGCAGCAAGCAACCACTGGCCAAGAAAACCAGAAAGGCTTGTCAGCCCTACCAGGCTCACGAAGCGCAACAATTAAGCGATCACTTGGGCGATCATAACCTGTGAGAGAAACTCCACTCTCTTTTGAACCTCTCTAAAAACGGCCTCAGCGTGCGGTGAACTGCTTGACCTTCCTTTTAAACGCCTGGATCTCCGCCCAGCGCTACAGATGGGGATCCTACCAGGTCTTGTGAGGATAGGTCCTAAGCATCGCTGCAAGAGCCTTTGACATTTACACGGGGCTTTAAACACAACCGTCATCATCATCATCATCATCACCATCACCATCACCATCACCATCACCATCACCATCATCTTCTTCATCATCATCATGTACTTCGTCTTGTTCATCATCATCGTCATTCAGGTGATGTCGATATGAGAGAAGCCCTCAAGAGGATGACTGCCAGACCTGCAGCGATTTGTAACCCTGGCAAAGTTTTGGTGACAAGGAGCCTCAACCCCTAAATCCAGAACGGCATTTGAACCGAGTGGGTTCGACCAACAACTTGAAACCGAAGCCCCAAGTCCTTGAGCTTGGTGACGTGGTGCCTCGAGGATCCGCATGTCATGACCCTCGTGCAGTTCTGGAGCCTCGCCCGAGATTCCGGCATCCTTACGCTTGAGTCTCGGAGAAGCAGCAAGAAGCAGTGGACATATTAAGGGTCAAGGCTTCAGGGTTTAGGGCTTCTCATAGTCCGAAACATTGAGGCCTCAGAGCTCCATCGCCCGTTTCGACCGTGCGATCTTCTCTGGTCCGAGGCAGCTTGTCCGGTACTCTTTGACCAGCCAGAGTTGTGCAAGTGAGGCACCAAAGTGAAATGGCGCCGGAAGACGAGCAGGCTGCTTTGAGCTTCAGACCAGGGTACTAGCGTGCTCGTGCAATGATTCCTGCACTGAGTCTTACCCTGGTTTGGGTCAAGCATCGTAGGGAGGAGAGACGAAACAAACCCGTGAGGAAATGGCCGAGTTGCTTGAGCCATCCGAGAAGATGGCGACGATCTCCCTACCTAGGACCGTGGCGCTGCAGCTCGCTTCCGACGGATTTGGGAGTTTCAGAAGCCAAGGAACCCCAGCGTAAACCCTGTTGAAATGAGTCTTCCATTCGCGTGTCAGGACAGGCTCATCCTCCTCTTCGAAGACCGTGGAGGCTTCTCACAGTTCCGTGACGCTGAAAGCATTGCGAAGACTTTTGGACTTGCAGGACGGTTGTTGACACAAGGGCTGGCGTGTGCGGAGAGGGGTCGGGGCGGTTGCTTGGGGGGCGGCCAGGGGTCTCCTACGCAAGCCCTCCGCCCTACGCAAGCCATAAACCCTGTGGCGTGTTCCTGCCTTAACCTGTCACTACACCCAACCCTAATCGAAGCCTTATAACTTTTCACTTTAAACCCTAAACGGGCCTAACCCCCAAAGCCCCACAACCACACCACAGGGGAAAGAGGGACCCCACACCCACCCACAAGGGGGGGGCTCATACCGTACAATTTTTTGTGGTCTGGGCTGTTCGTCTGATACATCTTCTCCAAAGGGCCGGCTATGCAAGAATCATACATGCAGCTTTGGAACACTGCGATGTCTTTCCACCGGGGCTCAAGAACTACAAGTTGGTCGTCTTTTGCTTGGCTTAGATTCTTCCCAACTCCCGGTCCCACTTGATCGGCAGGCTGATGAGGAGAGTACCAGACAGGAATCGGATTCTGCTTGTGGCCGCGTGGAACATGCAGTTTGTTTTGCTCTGTGTGAAGAAGGAAAGCAAGGAGCAAGACTTTTGGGATGAGGCGACGGAGGCCGCGCTTTGGGCCTTCTTCCGGGCATTCCGGGCTTGGCAACGACCCTTCAAGGCGTTGTACGACATCTTCGAAGCGGGAGGAGCTCACTCGGTACACAAGACTCCTCATGCAGTGTCAAGTAGAACACCCAGGAGCGTCCGGCAGCACTTTGGGAAGGAAGTTCCGTCGTTCCGACGAGTCAGGCTGTCGATGTGTCGATGGCAGGGTGTTTTCGGGGCAAGGCGTGTTTCTGGCCAGATGGAAACCTCGTCCACATACACGCTCCTGCCCGGCCGTTGCTGCCGCACACCTATCCTTCTCTCTCACCCGCACCACGTTTCGTAGCTGCGCTCGACCTGGTCCTCAAGGTTTCGGCAGTTTCTGGAAAGCTTCTCGGCCTTAAAAAGAGACTACCAAAGCAGTCCCAAAGGAGGTCGTCTCGTTTTTTGAGGCTTCGTCCGCATGGCGCCGATGCGCTTTCCCAAAGAGCAGGGCCTGGAGCAGCAGGCGCCAAAGTTCCTCCGAGGATCTTCCGCCGCCTTGGCCCTTGGCCCCTGCTGCGCGTTGCAGGTGCAGCGGCTCTTCAAGGAGCAGGCAGAGATCTCCGTGCTGCTGCGGCACTCCTGCATTCATCCATCAAGTGGAATGAAGGGAGGTTTATTGGCAGGTGGCTCCCTGCTTGAAGATGGTCTCTGGAAGCAAGTCTGAGGGCGGAGGCTGGTCTGGCGTAAGGAGCAAGGCTGTGACGCCTCACTTCATGCTTCGCTGTGCGTTTTTGAGGACTCATCAGCATGCTTGCCAACTTTCGCCGTCCGGCGAGCTCTGCCTTCGGGCTCTTCACACAGCCGGAGGTCAGGGAGGTGGTCTACGAGGCACCATGGCACCCTCGAGCTCGAAGCCGGGGCTGGGAAGAAGTGTCATGCGACGTTTCGCCCTTGCAGTTGGAGCCGATGCTTTGGAAGATCTTCGTAGAGCTGTCGGGAGATGCTGGGGCCAACGAGGATCGCGAGAGCAGAGTGCCGGGGAGCCCAGAATCCCAGTCGGTTCACTCCCCAGGCGGCAAAAAGCATCGGCGGCGGCGGGATTTTCTCCGGAGCTGGCGGTCTTGGGGCGAACCCTTCCAACGCGAAGTCGCCAGAGGCGCAGCGCCCGAAGTCTCTCAATTTGAACTCTGCATTCCCACCATTGGCGGTGTTGACTCTGGAGAGGTGGCGAAGCTCCCGACGAGACCTGGCCGCACTGGGATATTGTTCGAAATTTGCCAGTGCCCTTGACACTGCAGTGCACAAGGAGCCAGGCGACAGGCGCCTTGCATCAGCCCGCAATCGTCGCAGAGTCTGCTTTGCCTTTGCTCGAGGGGCGAATCGCGAATCGGTGCCTCACTCGGCCTTTGCGCAGACAGCAGACATCAGCAGACAGAGCGCCGAGCACAGTGTGTCTTTTTCGCCAGGAGCCAAGTGCCCCAAGCTCAGCCCGCCTTCAGGCCGAGAGCTGGGCATGCGCAATTGTTCATCAGAATCTGCATTCGGGAGAAGCATCCTTTGTATTTTTCTCCTTCGGTCCGTTGCCTTATCCTTCATACAACCACAGCACAAAGGAACGGAATTGAGCAGAGCCAGTGATATCTACAATGCACAAGATACGCACGAAAAACCCGGTTCTAGCTATGAAATGTACGGCACCCAAGGTGTTGGGATCATTGTTTTATTTCGGGAGGTTTCTAGGTGTTAACCCTAGGGCGTGGGGCAGAGGCCAGAGTAAGAAATGTAGGGGGCTTCGTTTCTTATTTTGGATTGTTTCCAAGCCCTAAGCCTAGGGCACGCGGCAGGAGCCAAACTAAGAAATGTAGGGGGCTATATGCTTCTTATTTTGGGTGGTTTCCAATGCTGGCAGTGGCATCTATAGTGTATCGACAGTAAAGACTATTTAAGTACGATCTTGGCGGTGTCTGTCTGGCCTAATGGTTAAGGCATTTGGCTCAGCTGGCCAGACTTCCATGGGCTTCAGCCAGGCTAAAACATGGTCAAGAAATGAAGGGCACCCAACGATTCTGGAGCTGAGAAATCCGGAAACTTGAAACAAGGAAGGGTTAAGAGATGAAGCGTACCCGACGCTGGAAGCTGGCATTTCGTATCCAGCAGATGCACTGTAGTGAAAGAAGTGAGCGAACACGTGCATGCTTTCAGTTCGTCTTACTTCGTTTCACTTCGTTAAAGACTAGGGCAACTAGGGCTCTTTTCGTTACGATTTTCGATGTCTCTTTGTGTTGTATTTAAACTAAGCGTGCTCTCCACTGCCTTATCTTAAATCAAGCACAAAGGGACAAAATAACACAATTTCAAATCCACCATACTTAGTGAAGTGAAAACAAGAAGACACATGAAAGGAATGAATGCGTGCGTTGTTCCTTAATATATTTTTGGTATGTGCACATGCGGTGTATGCACGTATGTATGTATACAACTGTATATATGCGTACAGGGTAGCCCTGTTATCAACCCGCATGACCGGCGTGGGCTCTAAGAGGAAGCAACTCTGAGTTGGACAGTAATTGTTGCTCGAAGTCATTGGCACATCCTAGAGCAAGTATGAGCAGTCATGACACTGCACATGCACCGTCGAATGCTTGAGAACATGCGAACCGTATTCTGTAGGAACAACGGACAACACATGATGGTAGGCCGCGGCATGTCAAAATGCGAACCGCGATTGCCCAGCAGACACGAAGTAAACGTATTTATGTGATGTGTAGCAAGACCAGCATGCAACCATAAAGTAGAGAAGAACAAACCTAAATTAGGAGCTTGGTAGAATTGCAAGTGCATGGTAGACCAATTGATGAATACTGGTATGCAAGAGAAAACACTTGTGTCTGTGTATGCATTCTTGCATGTCAATAAAGCTTGGCGAAAGGCTCGGCTTCGCAGCTGGGGTTCGCCACTGCGTGAACTGCATGTGTCCCGGCCACACATAGGTTCGGCCGTCAGCAGTCAACTTCCCGAGATGCCTGAATGCCGTGTAGGTGCTGCATGCTGTTTTCACGCGAGAAAGGGCACTGAAGGGGCTTCGAAAGTTGCCCTCCCAAGGCAGGACTCATGCCACCTCATTGAATGGGATGCCTTTTAAGGTGCGAGCGAGGCTGACCGTGAGCCTACGTGTCAAGGCGAGTAGGCAGGTCTCGCCCTATGGAAGGGGAGCAGAGCCAGTCAGGACGTCCTCCGATTTCTGCATGGCTTGGGCTTCCTGCAGAACACTTTGCCGGGCTCCAACAAGCTACGATTGTTGGCCTTAGCAGACTGACTTGACATCGAGGATCAAAGAGCAGCACCGGCCCCTTACCGAAGCAGAGCCCTCATCAGGGCCTCTCCAGGGCCTCAGGGTTCCGCTTTGCAATGCTGAGCCACCTTTCGTTTCAGGTGCTGTCGGGCTCCGAGGGGGACGCTGTCAACAACTTGCTCAGCCTCAGCCCCGAAGGCTCGAAGCTTCCAGGATCTGCTTCAGCGTTCGCTCGTGACTCAGACCCTTTGGGGAGTGGCCTATCTCAAGAAGAGCCTCCGGAGGAAGAGAATCCGAGTGAGGACGTCCACACGCTTTGAAGTCTCTCAGTCGTCTCTGTTGAGACTCCAGGATGACGAAGGCTCTGGCGGCAGCGCAGCGCCCGAGGAGGACGAGGCGCACAAAACGGCGGCTTCCGTGCTTCCGTGCCTTTCTGCGCCTTCGCCTTCAGCTGAGGACGTCGGCACCAAGCAGCTCCCCGGTCTTTCCATCAGCTTCATGCCAAAGGGCTCGCTGTTAGGCCCGGCCCGGCCCGCCTCAGAGATGCACTGCGTGCCTTTTGCCTTGGCTCACCAGGTGGTAGTGCGAAAGATGAGAAGAAGAGGAAGGACAAGGCCAAAGACGCCAAAGACGTCTTCTTGGTGCAAGCTGCTCCAAAGTCGCTTAGCACAGGAAAAGAAGGATAAGAAAGAGGAGAAGGAAGTCCGCACTCCGGTTACGGCCCCGGTCGCTGCTTTCGTGCCTAATTTCCGCACACTCGGACAAGCAGGCCGAAGACCTGGGCTGCATCAACTTGATGGTCGACGTCGTCGAAGTCTTGAGAATTCTGGCCCAGGTTTGTACCCTTTGCCGTGGGGCAGCGCCTCGAGCTTCGAAGCCTTGCACTCTACGTAGGTGTTTTCACCTCCTGTCATGGAGACCTTGCACTGGGAGCCTGCTCCCCAGACCCAAGACGAGGTGAAGACTCGTTAGATTCCGTTAGATGGTTAGATTTGCTGACTTACTCTCGAGCTTCAGCTTCCTGTGTTAAGGCCGGACAACTTGAAGGAGGCATGGTGCAGATTGCCATGTCCAAGGCATGCGCAGATTCGCCGTGCGTGGAACCTCCGCCAATTTGCTATCCTGCCTGCTCCATCTGGCTTTCGTGAGTCTGAGCTTGCTTTGACAAGGGTTGAAATTTTGGCTCTTTGGGTGCGTGAGGCCGTCCCGCAGTTGTGTTGCGCCTCGTTTTTCGCTTGTTGTCGTGCAGGCTAGGTTCAGGATTCATTTGTGCTCGAGTGTTTATCGGTGCGTTTCAACCAACTGCCAAGCTGGGAGGCCAACACGTTCTAAGTTTTGTTGTTTGCAATTTGATGTGCGTCGCAGTCTTGCATCGGTCGTTCAAGTGATGTGCAGGCTAGTGGGCTGGACGAGAATGTGTCCATATTGGAGCACCTCGGTAGCAACTTTTTCGGCTTCAAATGCCGTATTGACTGCCAAGTTTCAACTGACTGTCAGGTTCATGGAGACAGAGGTGACATTCGTGGCGGGACTCAGGAATGTCTTCGTGTCGGGATCACTCCGAAAGATGTGCGGCTTCCAGTTTGGTCCCTAGGCCGAGTTCATGCGACTTCTCGTGGTCGCCCCATCGCTAGGGCTTGCCGCTTCGCAGAGAGCACTATTGCTTCGCGAACTAAGTTCCTGATGGCAGAGTTCACGACGCGAAGGGACTACAAGTTTGGAGCCCGTCTTGCTACGGTTCGTGCGAAAGTTGCTGTTGGCTTGGGAAGGTTCTGCAGGAGCGTGTCCTTGACCACCCGGCTTGACGTCTTCCTGAAGAATGTCTCTCAGCGGCATTCGCGGTCATTTGGGTGCTGTTGGGGCATTTCCATGGGCAGCGCAACGTTGCAACATGCCCCGAAAGGTCATCACCTTCTGCCAGAAGGGCGGCAAGTACGCGCCGCCCGACACTTCAACGTCCGCCGCTGGCGGAGAGCTCAGAAAGATGCATGGACGCAGCACAAAGCCCAAAGCAGACGCCTGCTCCTCTGACTGAGGCGAGAGCCGAAAGCGACCCGAGGCGGCTAGAGCCCAGTGGAAGACTGCGCGGCATCGTTCGCTGGATTTTGAGGCGAAGGCTGAAGAAGCTCCCGCTCCGGATGCTACCAGCGAGGCCGCAGGGCGTCCGGCCTTGGTGAGTGATCTGTGAAGAGAGCCGACAGAAAAAAATCGCGCAGGAGCAGTGGCTCGGCTTCGACGTCGAGGGAGAGAGCTGCGCTTTGCGAAGGCAGTGCCAAGAAGATGGAGGGTTGGGCCGGCTCGGGGTCGCTGCGAGGTGGCCGGAAGGCTATGAGATTGAGGTCGCGGACTGGTGAATTCACAGCGAGTTGTTGGCCGTTTCACCACGCCACACAAGTTTCACCGACGCGTTTCACTCGAAGCTATACAAGACCAAGCTCTCTGCAACTTGTTTCATGTAGGGTATAGAGCAAAGACACTCAGGCCGTAAACTCCAAACCCGAGCCCCTAAACGCGACACCCTGTAAAGCCTGTGAGCCTCTAATATCCCCAAAGTCACTCCAAAGTAGCTGCATTGCAACAAGCGAAGAGCGTGTTCCGCCAATACCTGTCGAAGGCAGCTCGGAGGAAAAAGGCTCGTCCTCACAGTTTCGGAAGGCTGTGGAAAGCCGGAGAGGTCACAGGGATTCAACAACATGACAATAGAGGCTTGTGCCCAAGTATGCTATGCCGCTATGCTTGGCCTTAAACCCTTCGCCAGGGCCCAGGCCAGGGCCCAGGGCAGGGGTCTCGGGATGCAACCCTCCAGCCTTGCTGTTCTCAGAGGGCTCGGGTCTGGCGATGCGCGAGATGCCGGCAAGAAGCCATCGCTGTCCTCACGTTTCGGGTTTCGTCGACGTTGCTTCTGGGGCTGCCAGGAGGGTCTCGGCCTCGCTGCCTTGGGGCTGTGCTGGCAGCGTGTGAGAGCCAAGCAGCCTCCACGTGCCTTGCGAGAAGGATGCCAAGCTGCGCTCCACGCTTCGCATCTGAAGGAAATCCAGGAGCTTCTGCAGCCGATGATCAGCGAGAGGCGACTTGACAAGGCAAGAAGAGTCTTGCAAAAGAGAACTCAAGCCGTGCGGCTGGTCTTTCTGCGGCAACAGCCAGCTGATGTACTCGCGGCTCTTCGGACCATGGATCAGTTCGCACTTCAGTTTGCCGAGATCATCGGCGAGCTGGAAGACCACCTAGAGAAGCCGGGCGATACATCCGGAGGATCCCGGAACTTCGTCACTGTGCGCCAGTGGCCAGACCTGCAAAGCTGCACTCAGTCCCTGCGCAAGGCGCTGGCCAGTAGAGATACCCTGCGAAGTAGTTAGAGTCAAGAGAGAAAGAAAGACCGAGGGAGCCGAGGGAAATGCGTTGAGTAGTTCTTGCATTGACTGCAGGCGGGCCATCTATGCGTGTGTCTTCGCAGTGGCGCTGAACTCTCGGCCGAGGGTCTCCAGACGGAGGCGGAGGCCTCAGCCAGGCTCCTGAGTCACAGGCTCCTTCTTGTGGCAGCTTCTGGGGTCTGCCACGGGCTGAGGCCTCCCTGGCTTCGCTGAAAGCTGTGTGCAAAAGGCAGAACGAGCCCGAAGCTCCAGAGCCCTAAACTTCCGGAGCTTTCACTGATTGTTTTAAAACAATCACTCAACCCCGAGAAAAGAGAGGCAACTACAGCACACTCACCATCAAGATTTTTACTGCGGTGAGCGCTTTCGCCTGTTGGCAGGGGAGTTAAGAAGCACTGTGTGGTTTTGTTAAAGGAGGTAGGTAGGTAGGTAGGTAGGTAGGTAGGTAGGTAGGTAGGTAGGCAGGTAAGCAGGGAGGTGAAACTCGCTTCAGCTGTGAGTGGCGAACACACACACACACACACACACACACACACCCACACACACACACACACACCCACACACACGCACGCGCACGCACACACACGCACGCACAC